AGTGCAGGAGGGTGGGTGCTCAGCCACCATCTGACCTGATCACCACAGGTCACTCTACAGCAGTCTAACAGCCCTTCTTGGGGCTAGAGAGATGGCTCAGCAGTTAAGAGCACTGACTGCTCTTACAGAGGACCTGGGTTCCATTCCCAGCACCCATATGAAGGCTAACAACTGTCAATAACTCCAGTTCCAGGGATCTGATGTCCCCTTCTGACCTCCATGGTCATTGCATGACACGGGTGCACTTACTTACATGCAGGCAGTACACTCATACACATAAAATAAAATTAATAATAAATACAGTTTTTAAAAAGGGTCTTCTTGAAGCTGTCTCTCACAGCTGAAAGTAACCACCTTCTTCTCACAGTCCTCTCCCTCTCCCACACCAATACACCTTTGTAAAAATGTGTGTGCATGTGTATGTATGTTATGTATGCTTGTATATAGGTGCATGTGTAGTGGGGGGTAAATGTGTACATGTGTGTGCTTGCCTGTGGAGGCTAGAGGATGACCTTGGGTGCTGCTCCTCAGGCCCATCCATCCCATTTTATTTTATTTTGATTGTGTTTGTATGTATGTATCTACATTATGTGTGTGTGAGCACAGGTGTATATAAGCCACAGTGTGTGTTGCAGGGGTCAGAGGACAGTGCTGGGGAATCATTTCTCTCTCCATCTTGTGGTTCTGTGTGCTGTACACTCCAGGCCAGCTGGCCTCTGAGCTCTAGGTGATTCTTCTGACCCTCCTTCCATTCTACTGTGAGTGTGCTGGGATTCCAGATGCTCACCACCGCAGCTGCCTATTTTATGTGGGTTTTGTGGATCAAACTCAGGTCATCAGACTTGTGTGCCCCCCACCACCTCATTTTGTTGAGGTCTCTCACTGGCCTGGAACTTGCTGGGTAGACTAAGTTTGGACAGCCAGCAAGCTCCAGGGAACCCACTGTCTTCACCTCTCCTGCACTGTTATCACAAGCCTGCAACACCACACCTGCCTATGTTTTCATGGCTTTGGGGCATCAAACTCAGGCTCTCATGCTTGCAAGGCAAGCAGTTACCAAGTGAAAGGTCTCCCCAGCCCCCACCAGCACAGTGTTTAATCTATTTGCTGACTCCAGGGAGAAAGCTGTGGAATGGTCAGGTATGTTTCTGAGGGAGAAAGCCATCTTTCCATGTCTTCCTGGTGATGTAGGGCTTCTGAATAGAAGCTACATCCATATGGGCACCACAGACATGTGTAACTACAAGCAGGCTGACGTCTCAGTGCCCTGCGGAAATCTGCCTCTGACCCACAGGTATCCTGTCCATCTGTGTGGTGCCATCTGTGGCTTCGTAATCATGAGGGTATTAGAGATCCTGGACGCTGGGTCTCTCAGGTGCAGCCCATTTGCTACTGTCCTCAAAGGGGTGTTGGGGTCTGTATCTGAGATACTGTACTCTGCCAGGCGTTGCCAGGCAAGACATGTCGTGAAATGTGCAGACTGACAATGGCTTTCTGTGCTTTTCCTCTCAAGGAGAAGGGGACATTTAACCTGTATAGGTTTCAAGGGGAGCACAGCCCACTGTCCTCCCTACAGTGAGGGGCTGTGGTTTCTTTTGGTTCTCTCTGTACCAAGATCTCTGCTTAGAGTTTTTATCTGCTCTATCTCTCTGTCTCTGTCTCTCTGTCTCTGTCTCTCTCAACTTTATAGTCTGTTCCTTAACTGTAATGTAGTTGCAACCTAATGTAACCCCAGTCCGTGGATGGTGCCTCCCACATTCAAGGTGGGTCTTCCCTTCTCTGTCAAACATGCTAACAGACATGCCCAGAGACGTGTCTCCTAGGTGACTCCAAATCCAGTCAAGCGGAGAATGAAGATTAATCATTATGGTAGTTTTGCTTATAAAATTTTACCAAAAATGCATTCATAGAACACAGTCTTGTGTCAATTAATAAAGTGTCAATTGATTCCCCCATTGCACAAACATCCCACAACATGCTTGCACACACTTTGATGGTGTCCATCAATCACTTGCGGTGGCCACTTGATAAAGTCAGTAAGCAGAAAAAGAGAGATGGAGGGTCTGCTGCCAGGTCACGCCCACTGTGTGCCATTTACCATGGAGGCAGGACTGTAGACAGTGGTAAAGTATGCATACAAGAAGTATGCAAACCCCCATCCTGGCGGTTCATTAGCATAGCATGTGTCATGTGCCCCTGAATAAGCTATTTTTCACATGACTGACAGAACACCAGTATTACCACACACATGAGTGTAGGGTGTTCCAGCCGCTAGGAGATGGGGAGTTTCCTGCTCTATTAGAATTATATGGGATCACAGGTCACATGTGGTTCATCGCTTATCACAACATATACATGTAGCATGTGACTACCTATAAACATTCTTGTATGGAAATGTTTATGAGATAAACCACACAGTGCCCCTTTCCACACTCACGGGATTCCCAGAAAATTGTAGCTGGAGCGTTTTAGCTGCACTGTGGCGTGTTTAATGTAAGGATGTTGTTTATAGAGTTTTTCCATAGCCAGTGATGCTGCAGTTTTGATAGTCCCTCATCTCCTGTCTCCCTCCCTCTGTCCCCCCAATCCTTGTAAATCAATTCTCTCCCCCCCATTCATATTCTTTCTCTCTCTCCCTCCCTCTCTGTGGAATCAAATCCAGGGCTTTGCACACTGCTTGCCTGCAGTAGGCGCACGCTACAGTATGGAGCTGCCGCATCTCACCTCACTCCTGAGCTTCCTGTTTGTCGTTTCTGTCTTTTGCTGTGACAGAGACTTCCACCGAGCAGCAGCTGGCTGTACTCTACTATTTTCTTTAAGTTAGAAATGCATTGCTCTATAGGATGGTGGCATCTCTGCTGGTATCTTAGGTTGGATTCTGTGAAGCGTGTTGCTCAGAGGAGAGCTGTGCCCAGAAGGCTGACGGGGCGTCTTCTCAGGCAACACATCTGGAGGGAAGCCAAAATGGCAGGACAGAAAATGGAAAAGGAGCTCTGCAAAGTGCTGGCCACTCAGGTTCCAGCTGGGATGCTCCTCGCCCCTGTTCCAGACTAATACTAGAGGCCAGGTCTCCAAATCCACCTCTGGCAAGTGACTCCTCAGACAGCTGTTACCCCTGGCCAGGGCTGATCCCCATCACAGAGCTGAGATGAAGGTCTTTATAGCTGGGTATGTGGGAGACATCGTCTCCACAGAGGGACCTGGAGGGAGGCCCCCAGAGCCATCTTCGTGTCAGGAAGGCGGGAGTCAGCCTCAGCAGTGCCGTTGTCTAACCGTGAGCAGACAGACAGACAGACACCCCTCAGCCTCCCTCCACAGCTCAGGGTTTCTGCTTCTGGTAGGACTGGCCCACCCCACCCTTTCATTTAATGAGCACATTGAGTCTTACTATTCCAAAACCAGCCCTGTTGTCTTTGTAAACAGTGCTGAGTTCTTCATCTCCTCTTACCAAAGCGTCTTAAGTACTTGCAAGTGACTGGGTACATTCATCCACCAGGCTTATAGTAACCATACCCTACTCCAAAGCCCATATCCCTGCTGTCCCCCAGCCCTGGGAAATACCAACTAAGAAAGGGCATGTCCCAACCCATCTGTGACAACTGGCCTGGGCTATCCCCATCACCGCATGCACAGGAGAGGGCTATTTTGCCACCTTGAGTCCTAAGGAGAACAAAACATAAATCTTAAAATCCTTCATCAGACATATTGAGTCTCGGTTCTGCCTCTTCTAGTCTGTGCCCTTCTTGGAAGTCTGCACCTCTGGATCTCTCTGTCTCATCTCCAATGCACTTGCATTTGATGTCACAGGGTTAGCAGAATGCACCCTGTGGCCTCCTTTGCTGGCTGCCCAGAACAGGCACCCCACGTGGGCACTCTTGGCCCTGACCAGCAAGGTTACCCCCAAGTTCTGGAGCTCCTTCCTCTCTTTGGAGTGCATAACCAGATGACAGTTGCTCTTAGAAAGTCACAGATAAGCAGAGGTGCCTGACGGGCCACACTTCACTGTGCTTACGTACCTTCTGTTGATTTGGGGGGTTTAGAAGTTTAATTTGTTCATGTAGAAAACCTCCAAGTGCATTTTATGCCGAGTAAAATGCGAGCACTCACTAAATGGATTAAAAAGCCAGATTTGAGCAAGTTCACAGATGTTTGACTTGTGGGAGTTAAACTTGAAATGATTGTCAGGAAAACAGCTCAGAATGTTGTGTCATATAAAATATTGCACCCATGAAAATATGCTTATAAACTCTGCATGGAAAGATGGGAGTCTGTGTATGATGAGGTCTGAAGAGGAAGCAGTCTGTAACAATGGTCCATCTTATGTGTGTATTTTAACAGTGTCATTACCTAGACAAGGTACATGGGCATGTGTTCCAGAAGGAAAAATTTCCAGCTCAGAGCAGAGACCCCAGGCTGGAGGGGTTGGTGATGCCCGTGTCAAAACACTATCACCACAGATTTTCAACAAAATGCGTATTATTGACTTGATAACTTGTTTTATTTAAAAGGCTTTATATAGGATCTCCAGTTTCATTATGTTTAGAAATTGTGGCTAGGTCTCAGTGAACCTGGTAAACGAAGCATTTAATCCCCAAACTGGTTGTGGGTCTTTCTTTCCAAGCATTTGCTATGGCTTTGGAATTGGGTTCTGTGCTCTAGGAAGCAGTGAGAGCCCTTGGGTCCTGGTATTCAGGAGACTCAGGTTCTAGTGGGGAGGAGAACCACCCAACCATCCGATATATATACAAAGCCCAGCTGTGGTCATGACTGTGGGGACAGAGCAGAGTACCGGGCCCACACTGAAAGCTAAGTCCCCTGATGTAGATAGAGGTCTAAGGCAGACTACAAGCTGGCACCACACCTTGCCCCCAGAGCCAGCCTTGCTGTAGAATGCTGAGCTATGCTGAATGATCCATCCCTGCCCCGGATCTGGTGGTTGTGTCTTGGACTCTCCCTCGGAAGCCAGGCTGACTGACAGGCCGTTGTGTTCTCTCTCGCAGTTTTCAGTGAAGAGCCGCACTCCAGCCTCTACTTTGTCAATGCATCTCTGCAAGAGGTAGTGTTTGCGAGTACGTCGGGGACGCTGGTGCCCTGCCCGGCTGCAGGTGTCCCTCCTGTGACTCTCAGATGGTACCTGGCGACGGGCGAGGAAATCTACGATGTCCCCGGGATCCGCCACGTCCACCCCAACGGCACTCTCCAGATTTTCCCCTTCCCTCCTTCAAGCTTCAGTACCTTAATCCATGATAATACTTACTATTGCACAGCTGAAAATCCTTCAGGGAAAATTAGAAGTCAGGATGTCCACATCAAGGCTGGTGAGTACCGCGCCTCGGGCTCTGTGCCCTCTGGGCCTGGCTTGGGGTGGGTGGAGAATTACCAGAAGACAGGCCCTGTTGGAGGGCCCAGGAAACCCCAGCGGCTCATGTTGGCACAGCTGATGGTTGCAGAACATTCCTTCACTAGATTTTAACAGTGTTGGAGCTGTAGAAAACTTTAGAACTTTATTTTCTAATGCTAGAGTTTAATAATGGTTTAGTGGGGGCTGGGGAGATAGCTCCATAGGTAAAAGTGCCTGCTGTGCAAACATGAAGACCCAAGTTCAGATCCCACCACCCATGTAAAAATAAACAAAATTATGATATGGCCATGTGCCTGTAACCCCAGGGCTGTGGGGCTGGAGGCAGGGGATTTCTGGGGCTTGCTGGTTTCTGGCAGACTTCCTCTAAGTTCAGAGAGAGGCCCTGTCTCCAAGGGGTAAGATGGAGTGTGACATCTTCAAGCTCTGAGTCCTTGTATGCATGTGTGCATATGTGTCCATATATTCCACTCTCACATCACGCACACACACACACACACACGCACACACACACACACACACACACATGCACACACACACCCCTGAAGTCAGCACGGCAACTTTACTATACTTTAGCCTCATGGAAAATTGACTGAAGGATTCAGGGGCTCACAGCTGTGTGTGCCTCCAGCCATCTCAGGAGGGGGGAGAACGGAGAAAAATAAAGGAAACATGGTTGATCAGGAATGAAAACGGCCTAAATTTGGGCTGTAATGGAAAGGGAGTCAACCAAATAGCCTCTCCCTCCTAGTGAAACAATAAAAAGACCTGTTTTGACATTTCTGACTATGTCACGCGCTGCCAAAATGGGTTTCTTTTAACAACATATTGTGACTTTTTAAAATCATCATCGCTACAAAGCTAACTCAGAGATTCGGCCTGAGACAGACACCAGAGACTTTCCAGGGAGGACACATTGTGCTCCTTCCACGGAGTCAACAGATCCTTGCAAAACAAACTCCCAGCAAGACTTCTGTTAGCAAATAGCTTTTGAGCACAGCCGAGTTCTGAAACTCTTGGGGAGACGGACCTAACACAGTGGTCGGGCAGGAGATAGTCGCTTTGACTTCTGTCTCGGTCGGTCATCGGTTCATCTCTGTGGCAAGTGAGGAGGTGCTCCTGGAAGATACCAGGGCGTGATCAAAATGTGCAGTGTTTCTAGAAGTCTGCATGTGACGGCTTCAAACATCAGACAAGCAATCAGACATTCGCCAGTGACTCACCCTGCCAGCTAGCCAGTTCCCAGCCCTGCACAGAGAGCACTTAGGAAAGGCAGAAGCAGAAACAGTTGATATGCCAAAATTGTTAAAATAAGAGCAGTGAAATTTTGGTAGGGACTTCAGAGCCTGACAGAGAGATGCCCTAAATGCCCGTGGTTTCACAAGCTGAGCGTTTTTAACAGTGTGTTACAAGAACATATTTATGGTCTACACAGTACCAGGTATTGTGAGACCTGGAATTTCAAATAGCTCTATCTGTGACTTCTGTCTTGGGTTTCCTGTCAGGTAGACAGGTTAAATGCTCAACACTTACTTGCTTTGTGTTTATGTGTGGGTTTGAGATTGTGGGTGTGGGTAATATATGTATGTGTCCATGCAGATACACACGTGCGTGTGCGCACGCGCGTGTGTGTATGTGTGTGTGCGTGCAGACAGGGGTTGATGTTGGGTGTCTTCCTTAATCACTCTCCTCCTTGTTCTACAAGCCAGGGTCCCTCACTCAATCTGAAGCTCACAGTCTGGCCAGGCTGGCCGACCAGTCATCTCCAGGGATCTGTCTGTCTCTGTCCACCTGTTCCTTCCCAGTGCTGGGATTACAAGCAGACCTCTCCACACCCAGCTTTTATATGTCTGTTAGGGATCTGAACTCAGGTCCTCCTACTTTTGAAGTGAGCCCTTTACCTGCTGAGTCATTTCCTCAGACCTCTCCCTGCTGTTCCAACTGCTGTCCTCTAACTTTGTTACAGAACTTATTGTATTCATATGATACCACAAGTTCAGAGAGACATGGTTAAACTGCACATGAAGATTGACTTTGTTATTTTGAACATGTGACATGGACATCTCGGTGGCCCTGCTGCCTTTTCTATTGAATTTTACTTCCTATTATGATACATGAAGCTTGCAATAATCTTTTGTTTTTATTTGCTTTTTTTGGTGCTGGGAATTGACCCAGGCCCTCACGCACGCTGCACACACCTTCTGCAGCTAAGCAACTCCCTCATCCCCACTGCAACCTTTCAGATTGTGTATTGGACACTTGAGCACAGTTTCCCCTGTGTACAGTGCTAGAACTGAATGGTCCTTCAGAAGGACAGAGAGGAGTCCAGTGACATCTCTGACAGCTAAGCAGGTGGGGACGGAGGACTGCTCACCCACCATCTCCTGTGTCCCTCACCAGAACTGTCCCTCTAGGGTGCTGTTGGGATTTGTCTGAAATCGTCTCATCACTTTTTCTTTCACTGAACGGAGGTTTCCTGTTCTCATCAATCTTCAGCATTTTATTTAATATATTTATATTTATTTTTATTATTGCTTGGGGGATAGAGTTGAGACAGGGTCTCTCTATAGCCCCACCTGACCTGGAACTTGCTATGTGAACCAGGCTGGCCTTGAATTCACAGAGATCCACTTGCCTCTGCCTCCCAAGTGTTGGGATTAAAGGCGATGCTACCACCTCCAGCTATTTTATTTATTTAATTTATTTTTTAAGTATTTTAAATTATTCTTTGGAAATTTCATACAATACATTTCAATCCTATCCTCCCCCATTTCCCCTCCAACTCCTAAATCCCATCCTCCCTTCCCTCTTCCAACATCAGATCTCCCTTTTTAAAATAACCTACTGAGTCCAGTTAGTATTGCCAATATATGCATGTGTGGGGCCATGCACTGGAGCATGGTTGACCTATCAGTGGCCACACTCCAGAAAACTGACTCTTCTTCCCTCGTCCCCCCAGTCACCATCCAGTGTCCATAGCTAAGGGTGGGGGCCCATGTAACCCTGTCCCTCCATGCTGGGATGTGGACTAGCTGGATCTCGTGCAAGCAGACAGAGCTGCTGTGAGCTCATGAGGGCAGTGGGCCTGTCATGTCCAGATGACATGGTTTGCCCCTGTCCTCTCTGACCTCTGTCCCTCACAGTCTTTCTGCAATGTTGACCCGGGCCTAGGTGCCCTAAAAGTGAAGGGCTTTTCACTTACTGTGTCTCATTAACCAGCAATCACTGTAGTCCCAACAAAACCAAAAACCACTTATCTGGCTGCAGGTGGGTCACTGACTTGGTAACATCTCTTGCCCATCTTTGTGTGCCACTCAGCAAACATCAGTCACCTGTGGGCACGTGACCAGGTCAAACATGTTTATTGCTTCCTCTGGGACAAGCAGTGGCTAATGACATTGACTCATGGCCCAGATGGAGCAGTAGGAACCTTTTATCTGAAGCGACCAAAAAGCAAAGGAAGAACAGAAGAACCTGGGAAATGCCAGCTATCCAAACTGCAGTTTCCAGGACGTGGCCTCTGAGTTGGCATAAAAGCCGGGCTGGGGGTCAGCATGTGAGTGCCAGCAACTCCACGGATAGCATGTAGTGGGAGCTGCCGAGAGGTCCTTGCAGTCAGGGCCACGGTGACAGGATCTCTAAAGGCTGGCTGGGCTCTTCTGAGCCCTCTTTTCCACCAGTGTTAACCTTGGCTTCCCATGTCTGGCATCCTGGTGTCCAGTTTTAGCAAGAATCCAGCTAAGCCACCCCTGTTCCTGCTATCTGATCAAGTTCCCGCTCCGAACCACCCCCACTGGTGTGCCTTTAACAAGAGTCATGTTATGCCAATTTAGGAATAATCCTTCTACCTTTGCAATTTCTTTGTGCTAATTTTATATCTTTTAAAACATAATTGAATATTTAAGCAAAGATAATAATGATGTCTTGTGTGGTATGTAGAAGGGTCTGACAGCCACAGCATTAAAACCAGCATCAAGTCAGGAAGCTACAGTACTGTAGGATTGTTTTACTATGTGTGGCATTGTATAATACCACCCCACAGCAGACAGTGATAAGTTTAAGGTAGGTAATAGTAAGTCTCAATAAATATTAAAATAGCTCCCCAGAGACCTACAGCTAATAAAGCAAGCATGGAGGAGAAGAGTAGTCACCAAACAAGAGTAAATACGACAACCATGGAGGAGAAGAGTAGTCACCAAACAAGAGTAAATACGACAACCATGGAGGAGAAGAGTAGTCACCAAACAAGAGTAAATACGACAACCATGGAGGAGAAGAGTAGTCACCAAACAAGAGTAAATACGAGAAGAGACCAAGCAAAGTGAGCTCGAGGCCAGTGGTGGAAAAGGAATCGGACAGTCACATGACAGAATTAAAGGTAAATATTCAAGGCTGATGTCACAGATGAATGTTTCAGACATCTCAGGTACAGGGGAGAGACGGCCAGCCGGGATTACGCGGCTCAAAAGAAATACTCTTGAAATATAAAGATACAGACAGTATTTTAGTTTCTTTTCTGTTGCATAACAAAGCACCTCAAGCTATGAACGTTGTTTTTGAAAGAGGCTTATTTAGCTCACATTTTGGAGGCTGCACATCCAAGGTGGAGCGGCCTCTTCTGGCGAGGGCCCCTTACGTAGTCACAGCATGCGAGAAAATGAGAGCGGAGTTACTACACTGAGAAATACTCACATGGAGCCACTAAGTTTGAGGGCCCGGTTTCTCCTTGTAACATCTTGCTGTCGTGGGACCAGACGGTAACCCTGCTGAGGGCTGTACCGCCAGCCATCTAGTCACCTTCACCACTAGACCATCAGCACCAGCACACTGGGAAGAAAGCCAGAGCACAGACCTTCAGTCATTGTCCTCCCACCATGTCTAAGTTACAGCAGACAGGTTCACAGTCAAAGGACGGAGAAAATACCTGTTTGTCCAAACAAAGCACGATGAAATAGTGAC